ACCGCGGGGCCCGCGGGACCCTGGCCCCTGCCCGGCGGCCTCCTGCCCGGCCTGCAGCTTGCCCTGGGCTTCAAGACCAAGGGCGTCATCAAGGAGCGCTGTCGGGACTGCTACCGGGTGAAGAGGCGCGGGCGCTGGTTCATCTACTGCAAAACGAACCCAAAACACAAACAGAGACAGATGTAGGTCTCCGCCGTAAAATAATGTGCAAGACAGTGTCCCTATCTTGAGGAACGGTACTACCTCGTGGAAAGGAAAATAAAAGTGAAGCAGTGCCTAATCTAAGATCTGTCGAGCCTCGGGTTTTGTTGACTCTACCGCCGGGCACCTCACCCCCATGTAGCGCAGCCAGGTCAGCTGGTCAAGCCAGAGCCCCGGATGGAAAGCGCATCGTTCTTATCTTCTGGGCAAGCCGTCCGTGCTCGGGCTGCAGGGCAGGAGGCAAGATGGAGGGGGTGTGGGTCTTGCTTCTGAGGCGCCCCTGCAAGGCGGCGTCCGGCCCTGCCCCCGCATTTAGCCCGCCTGCAGCTTCTGAGTGCCAACTGCTCCACTCCCTGGCCGCGGATAAGCATGAAAGCCTTGACGGCAATCCTTACATCAAGGAAAGTTTGGTTCCCCGAGTGTAAAGGTGTTTTAGACACCAGTTAGACGTGTTTGTCATCTCTGGTGACGCACGAATGGACACGTGTGTGGTGTGGGTGCGCTGTGCACACGTGCATGTCCCCGTATGCATGGATGTGGGTGGTGTGTGCACGTATTTGTACATGCATGTCCCCATTTGCGTGGATGTGGTGTGTGCATGTATCTGTACACATGTACGCACGACGCACCTGGAGGGTGTGTACTAAGCAGAGCCGCCGTGGGACTCCGCAGGCATGTGGCCTGGAGCCCGTGGCCTGCAGTGTTCTTGTGTCTCGTGTCCCAGCGGCTGTGTCACCCGCACGGTCTGAGCCCCCCACAGAATGTCCCCGGCCCCCCTGGCAGCCTTGGTGTCCGGGCCACAGCTGGAGCGGGTTGTACTAGGAGGACAGTGGTACAGGCATCACACCGTGCGTGGGCAGCTCCGTGTGCCACACTAAGGCACAGCGCACACACAGTCCTGCTCTCCGGGATCCTGACCACGATGCCCGGAACCACAGCACAGAGCCCAGGAGGCAGCTCAGGACAAGAAGTGACACGGTTTTGCACATTATGTCACAGAGCAGTTTGTCCTGGGAGAAGGCGGGGTTCAGCTAGTTCTACTGGAGTAAAGACGTTCTTTCCCCACGTTGCTTCAGGGGGTCCCGGGACCCCTGCCCTGGTTTGAGAACAGCCAGCCCATATAGACGCTGTAACGCTTAGACTTGTTTTCTCTGAAGCGAGCTGTGTTGAGTGCAGGGGTTCTGAGGGTAATTACCTCCTGCATAGACCTCAGTCCCAGAGCAGCTGCAGAGGAGCCCTGTGACCTTAGGAGGTTTCCCCTCTCAGCACAGCTGGCCCTCAGGACACAGTTTTCCCAGTGCAGGGCCGTCCAGGGCACTGAAGTGTGTGCAGCAGCATCCTCAGCCCCCACCCACTAGATGGCCAAGAGCACCTCATCGCTGGTTGTGACAACCGAAAGTGTTTCCAGACCTGGCAGACGTTCCCCGGGCACGATCTGCCCTGGAGGGGCTGACACGCAGGGGCTGATTCCGCCCAGCCCTCCCCGCAGGGTTCCTCTGAGAACCAGAGACCTGGGTTGGGCAGGGCCCGGTTCTGTCGTGCTCCGCCCTCCGGCTGTCACAGGCCCGGTCCACCGTAGGCACTCAGTGATAACAGTGGAATCAGATGACCGTGCCTGCTTGTAAATACACAGCCTTTTGTCCTCTCCACTCAGAACAGGCTCATCCTTAAGGTTCGGCACACAACTTTGTTCCGAAGACGTGGCAGACTGGCCCTGTCCCCGCGGGCTCAGCCACCTCCCCTTGTGGGGGAGAGTTTGATGCCACACCCGTCACGGACCCGCAACGCACCAGGCATGCCTTCTCAGTGTTTTCTCCTTGACAGGTGCGAGGTTTCACATGCCATTGTGCGTGTCTGGCTCTGTGTGGGGCTGACGGTGTTGTCACAACCACAGGTACGTGCCTCTGTGGAGATCTTCAAAGGGCAGGCAGTAATGGGGTAGTGAAGCCATGGGCCCCAAGTCCACAGGAACCCATGATTACAGTTGACAAGCTGGAATTCTAACAGGCTGTTGATGGGTTTTTAAGTCCTTCCTCCCTCCTGGGATTATTCGTCCCTATTTGATCCAAGGTGACCGTGTGAGTGCTGACCAAACCCTCCCACAGCCCATTCCCTTTCCGATACCTGCACGGACCAGCGTTCAGAGTCCCAGGATCTACCTGCAGCGACCAGCATTCAGAGCCCTGGGATTCCAGCTTAGCAGCAAGTGTTGTTTAGGACAAGAGACAGCAAGCTACTCCCGCCCACCACCCATTTTTGTAAGTGAAGTTTTATTGGAAAACAGCCATGCGCGCTCACGAATGTATCGTCTGTGCCTCTATGACAGCGGGGTAGCCGCTGAGTAATTGCTATAAAGAACATATGGCTTGAAAAACCTAAAGATATTTACTATTTGAGCTCTACGTGCAGAAAAAGTGTGCCAACTCCTTGTTTAGAACGTTACATAAGCTCTCACCTCACCCTGGGGCTTGACTTCAGAGACCACAACCGGCCAGAAGCGTTTCACGGGTTCTCCGTCGTCCACACAGTGAGAAGGATTTTTGTATTTGTAAATACTAGCCATAAACAAATAGAAATTGACATAAAAAGCGGTGTTTGTAATAGCACCGAAAACATGAATGTTTAGATACCAAAGTAATAAAATCTGCACGCATTCTATATACTTAAAATTGTAGGGGCGCCTGGGTGGCTCAGTCGGTTAAGCGTCTGACTTCAGCCAGGTCACGATCTTGCGGTCCGTGAGTTCGAGCCCTGCGTCGGGCTCTGGGCTGATGGCTCAGAGCCTGGGGCCTGCTTCCGATTCTGTGTCTCCCTCTCTCTCTGCCCCTGCCCCGTTCATGCTCTGTCTCTCTCTGTCTCAAAAATAAATAAACGTTAAAAAAATAAATTAAAAAAAAAAATAAAAAAATTGTAAAACACTGTTGAAAGAATGTGAGTGAAATGTAAATAAGTATTTACATGTACCATGGTTATGGATTAGAATATTTGACATTGTCAGTTCTCACCAAATTAGTCTGCAAACTCACTGTAGTCCCAATAAAAATCCCAGCAGGAATTTTTGTGCAAAATGCCATGCTTCTTCAGAATTTTACGTGGAAAGGCAAAGTATG